GTGTGACTCCTGGCTCTCCCCTGAAGTGGAAATGACCGTGAAAGCCAAGTATCTTGAATCCACTCAGAACAGTGAGGCAGCTCCGCAGTACAACTAGACACTCACAGAAAAGGACTTGCGGAGCTGCTCAGGAATGATGGGATCGATGTGCTCACATCAAGGGGGAGGATTTGGCAGGGATTAATGGCACTGTGTCTTTCACTGTAATAAATTTTAAAATCTAAACTGTCACCGTATTTGTCCATCACTGCCTACATCCAAAAACAACTACATGCTGAGCAACACCCTGTCATTCTCTACTCTTCAAAGCCCTTCTGCCAAAATCAGGAGCACACTCATTATTTGTCTTCTCGCAGATCTAAGGGGCCAAGAAAAGGAGATCTGCTTGCATCCAGCCAGGACATTTCCAGGGTCACAGAAAGAGAAAAGGCTAAGTAGTCTAGGTCTTTAGGCCGCCTGTGTGAGGTGTTTCCCAGCCTCCTCTGGAGAGAAAAAAAACCATTTCCAGAAGGTTCCCAAAGATTCCACAAGCCCAGATGTCTCTCTCCCCACTCTAGCCTACAATGATACCTCCAATGCCACAAGGCTCCCAGTGAGCCTCCCCAGTGCCAGACAGCTCTGATTCCCAGTGCTAAGAGCCACGCCTTCCTGTGCCAGGGATCCTCCCGTACCCCATTACCCATGGTTTACCTCTCCCAAGTCCTTCTTGTATTTGTCTTTTATAAATAACTTATGCTTGTACCTTGCTTTTTGATCCAGTCCAGCAGTCTGTACCTCGAGTCCCTATCACCCCACTTGGTGTGTGAGAAACTTAGCAGCCAGCCCAGCTTCTTGCATCACTGTCATCAAACAACTCCAATCTATGCTTTCAGATGCTTTAGGGACACTGTTTGGTCCACCTCCTGCAGGGCTCTGGAACCCAAGCACCACAGGAATGTGTGAGGCTACTGTGTTCTTGCCGCTTAACAGCCCTTCTCTTTGCCTGATTTCCCAGCAAAATTCCAAGGAAGGGAGAGAGATGGCGGAGGCTTACACTTGGAACTTCTAGACTCTAACCTCTCACCCCCCAGTGCAGGATGCTCCTTATCCATCTGCAGTCTCCTGGCTGGTGGCTGCTCTTCCACTGTGCCAGTTTAGACAGGTGCCCTGGGCGTTCCAGCCTCTCTGCTCACCCTGACACCCACGACTTAAGAAGAAAGACTCACCTGGGCTCACAGTTCTCAAAGGTTCCATCTAATGCTGGCCAGCTCCACCCGTGGCAGAGGTCAGCGGCCCACCACACGGCAGCCAGGAAGGAGAGGGAGGGAGGAGCTCAGCACAAGACACACTTCCAGCTCCTGCATGCAGGGAACTGATCTGGCCCCACCTCCTAACACATGAGACTTCGGGGGGCATCTCAGCTATAAACCATTAAACATTCCAAACAAAATGAAAAACTTAAGTCAAAATACAGATTTTGATGTTGAAAACTGCAGGATGCTGAAGGGGAAAAAGATCTAAATGGAGACGCACCATATTCAGAGATTTCATAGTAAAGACAGCAATTCTCTCCAAATTCATGTAAAGAGCCCAATTCCTGTCAAATTCCAAACAAAGGTTTTCATAAACATAAATAGGTTTATGTTTACATTTGTACAGGAAGGCACAGGACTTAGATTTAAATAATTTTGCAAAAGGAGAAAGTGAAAGGAACAGCTCTACCCAGTGTTCATCTGATTACACCAAGACACTTCGGCATTGGTGAGGGACAGACACACACAGCATAATGTAACATATAACCCAGAAAGAGAAAAGCAGCACTTGACAAACTTGCAAAAGCAAGTCAATCAAGAGACAATAACATTTGCAACAAATTATGCTGCAGCAATAGTAACATTAACTGCCAGAAAACTAAAATTTGACCTAACTCACAACCCATGTCTCACATTAACCTCACAAAATTAACAGGGGTCAATGACTTAAAATGTAAATTTAAAATTATAAAACTTTGAGAAAATAGATGTAAGAGAAATGGGTGGAGTCTAGGGCTAAGAGTTCTTAGACTTGATACCAAAAGTCTGACCCCTGTCCCCAAAAAGTAAAACAATGATACCACTGTACCTCATGCAAAATGTAAAACTTAGCTTTGTGAGAGTCCATCTCAGAAGATGAAAAGACAAACCACAGAAGAAAACAACACGCGACATACCTGACGAAGAACTTGTATCTAGAATGCATAAAAAATTCTCAAAGCTCAACAGTAAAGGAAACGATTCAAACAGAAAAGATATTTTACCAAAAAGGATTCAGACCTTTTTTTTTTTTTTTTTTTTTGGTGGAACCGGGGATTGAACTCAGGCTCTTGCACTTGCCAGGCAAGCACTTATCCTACTGAGCTATCTCCCCAGCCCCCCAAAAAGGATTCAGACAGCCAAAAAAGAAAAAGAAAGATGCATGAAAACTACTGAATAGTATTAACGATTAGAAAAATACTGTACTGGTTAAAACCACAATGAGATGTGGTTAAAGCAGATGATGATAACATCAAACACTGGCAATGCAGAGAAACTGGGGCACCCAAGTATTGCAGGTGGGAATGTAAAATGCCAGGCCGCTCCAGAACAGAGCATGCCAGGTTCTTTCAAAACTTCCCGAAAGGCCCATGTGTTGAAGGATTGGTAACCAGTGCATGACACTATTGGGAAGCGGCGGAGCCTTAGAAGGTGGGACCTCATGCAAGGTCTTAGGTTAGTGGGGCTTGGCCTTGAGGAGGACCCTGGTCTTGTCCTCTACTTATGTTGCATCCTGGCCTCTGTGAAGCATACTGTTCACTCTACCACGGCCCCTGCCACAGTGCAGTGCCTTAACCATGGACTGAGACTTCCAAGACTGTGAGCTAAAAATAAACCTTTCCTCTGTTTGTGGTCTGGGGAATTTGCACATGGTAGGCAAGAGCTCTACCTCTGAGCTGCACCCTCAGCCTCCTTTCCTAGTTTTTAAATCAATTATCTCAGGTATTTTGTTACAGTAATGGAAAGCTAATGCATGCAATTACCACCCCACCTTAGAGTGCTACTAACAATAAAAAGGAGTTAACTTGATTCACAGAACAATGTGGATCGATCTCAGAATTAGGCCAAGTGGAAATGTTGATCTCAGATATACTGTCTGGTTCTCATTATACACTGTTCTTGAAATAACAAAATCAGAGTTTTGGAATAGATTAGTGGTTGCCAAGGATTAGGGAGCAGGAAATACTATAAAAGCATGAGGGATCCTTGTAATGGAGCCATGACATCTTGATGGTGATCAAATTGCACAGAAATATATATTTAATAAGTATATAAATCTGGTGGCATCTAAGTAAGGCCAGTGGACTGTGCCAATCTCAGTTTCCGGTGGTGATACTGTACCATAGTTATGCAAGTTATTACATTAGGGAAAATTTGATGAAGTGGATATAAAACTCTCTGTATCACTTCTTACAGTTATAGATGAATCAATCTCAAATATAAACATTTAAAATTTTAAAATAACAATAGCTGAACACAAGAAGACAGTAAAAATATATTATTAACTTTTATTAGAGATAAAGAATGGACCAACTCTTAGTTTTGCATTTTCTCCATTTCCTGACTTGGAATTATTAATGGATTGAATTAAACATAACACAAGGCTCAGAGTGGCAATAAGATGGGACACGAGTTGACGGCTCCAAGTGGGTGAAGGTCCACATGCACAGGGTCACCCACTCTGTGGACTCTCGGGTGGCAAAGGCAATCTCGAAGGAACCCTGGAGTGTGGAAGGAGATGGGCTGTGGGTCTCCAGATAAACGGCTGCCTGTGCAGTGGGGGATAAACAGTCTTGGATTTGTGGAGGAGACAGAAAAGAAGGAAATGTGGGTAAAAAGGAGCCAGAAGTGGGATGGAGGGAGGGCTGACAGGAAACAGCCCTCAGGGGCTGCCTTGAGCTCGGGAACAGGGGTCTAGGCTCCCATCTCATTTCTGGATCAGGCTTGACTGCCCATGAATCCACAGCAGGTCCAGAGCTATTGAGGTGGAACTTATGACAAAGAAAACAAGTGAGGTCATGCACTGATCCTATGGGACAAGTGACTGAAGCTCGGTGACAGCCACTTCCCTCAGCATTTGTCAGGCGTCACTTCTGATCCCAAATCCAAAGTGCCCATAGCCACTATCTAGGAGCCAACCCTAGAGATGTCACTGTGGTCAGGGCTGGGCTTGAATTTTTGACCCTCCTGCCTCAGGGTCCCACACTACCAGGATTACAGGCTCATGGCCCCAGCCCCAGCCTTGCCTTCCTGTGTGGACGGTGTTTCAGCACAGCTGACATCACAGTGCCAACAAGGGGAAAGCTGGGACTAATTCAGTCTCTCATGCCCAGGAGCCGATGCACTTGGAGGGGCACACTCGGCTCCTCCCTCTGCAGGCCCCTGGAGAGAGGAGCCCTGTGGCCACACACACACACATACACCCAGGGTCCCGGAAAGGCTGTTCAGAGCCCTTCCCTCTTCCCTGTGGCAGAGGTGCCCACTCTCCTAGCTGAGGGTCATTTAACCATTTCCTGAACAAATCACTCAGTGCATTTCGCCAGCTTTTCCCATCATGGCAATGAGGACGCTGAACATTCCAGATGGTAAGAGCTACAACACGCTGAAGACTTGGGACTTTAAAAAGCTGGGACTGATTTCTCTGATGATCCCAGAACTACTCATGGGTAGATGAACTGAAATGTCCCTTCCGTTCCATGCCAGCTCATCTCTTTCCAGACTGTGCCATCTTTCATTCTACTCTGCTTTTAAAGTATTTGCCTGGTTGGTTTGTGTTTTTGAAACAGGGCCTTGCTACGCAGCACAGAACTCACGATCCTCCCACCCCTGCCTCCTCAGTGCTGGGATTACAGATGTGCACCACCAGGCCCAGCTGAACAACTGCTTTGTTGGTAACATTCTAGCAATGGTTCTCTCTGCTTTACAAGAGTTAATGTGTGTCCAAAACTTGTCTCTCAAGTCATCCTTTATTCAGGGAAAAGCATACAATCAAAAACAAGTGGGTGAAGAGATACCTAGCTATTAGGTTAACTCTGAATTCAAACAGAACTTTCATAATCTATCATTTTCTTTTAATTAGAAGAGCTATTTTAAGCACAAAAGGAGGTACACTTCTCAAATTCAGTTCTTTGCTATGCTTCACATCTGGGAGCAAGTCGCTGGGGCAGGCAGGGGGGCACTTCGTCTCAGAGCAGGCCTCCCAGGTGAAGTCCCCTCCACAGAGGCTCTGCTGAAACCTCAATGTAGACACAACTCTTCCCATTCATTTTTATTTTTAGACTTACACATCACAAGTCAGGATGTGGAAGAAATGTGAAGTGAACCTATCCGCAGACGAAGATCTTGCAGTTTCTACCCATGGGAGGTCCGCTGGCTCTTCAGGAAGCCCGGGCCGTGGCATACCCCACAGCAGGCGGCTTTCTCCGCTCTGTCTGACTTGGAGCTGCAGACGCCTTCACATTGGGCATCTTGCATCATCATCATCTAGTTCAGAGCCACCGGGACAGAATAGAACAGATTAATTTGACGTGCAGCTTCTGAGACCATGTGCAGTGGAAAATGCATATTTTTGACTATTTAGAGCAGGCCTTGCATCCGTCTGCTCAGGCTGCCACGACAAAAGGTCACAGGCTCCACACACAGCTTTACTGCTTACAGTTCTGCAGGCTGAGGGCCAAGAGCAAGGTGCCAGGGGACTCAGTTCCTGATGAAGCCACTCCTGCTGGCTGTGGACAGGCACAAGGCCACACACAGTTCTCAGCACCTCCTGCTTCCTGGGGGAACCGTGCACTCCAGTGTAACGCTCTTGTTGAGGCGGTCACACTGTCAAGACTGTCTGGCTTTTTTTCAGAGACACAATCTCACTTGTAATGCAGGCAGACTTTGAACTCACCACATACCCAGGCTGGCCTCAAGGGTGCAGTGATCCTCTTGCCAGAGACTCCAGAGTGCTGGGATTGTATGCATGCGCCACCACACCTGACTTGTGTAGCAATTTTAGAACAACTGGGACTACTTAGTCACAGGTGCTAAAAGATCTTTCGTGGTATCAGGAGTCTGGCTTTGTGGCCCGGATATTTCACTTGAACAACCACAGCTTGAAGCCTTTATCCGTCTCTGCCATTCTATTTTGTGAAGTCCAAAACGAAGTAATCAAGAATTTTGAAAACAAACCAAAAAACTTTTATTTACAAAGCAAATTTTAACTCACTGTTATGTATGGTAATGTTAATGCTGACACCAACAGATTCTCTGAAATACTTAAAATTCAGTGGGGTATGGACAGCTCACTTCCCCTAGCTGTGAGCACAGAACTAGGGTGCTTCTTCACCCTTGGCGCACGCTCATGCTTTTATGCAGTCACATTTCGGGGCAGGCTGGCTCCTGGATGACATCACGTGACCATGGGCTGCGGACTTCCCAGGAGCAAAGGAGCCAATCTCAGCAGAGCGCGCACTGGCATCTTCAGCTGCTTAAATTTGAAAAGGAGTTCCGCAAAGCTCGTGCTCCCTGAGAAGACGGAATGGAAGAAAGGTCACATCTCTCCATCAGGTCGGCAGTACCACCCGTCAGAGACCTCCCGAGCAGGATCGTGTCTGAGGCGAGCATTCTTCCCTTGAAAACAATCACCCAGTGACAGTACCTCAATTACAAGCTTCCCACTCATCTAGAACTCGATGTAAAAATTTAAATTTATCCATTCTGTACTTCAGAAAATGACCCCTGTGAAAACTAAGAATACTTGAAACCACTGCTATTGTTTAATTCTACACATAATCTAAATATAGTAGTTAGGAAATGCGTCTAACTACCTTCAATGATTATTTTTCCAATTACTATTTAAGTGATTTTTTAAAACTGTTTCCTTCCTAATCCATGGCCTCAGTCCTAACACAGGCTGAGAGTGAGTAACAGAGGTTGACCCAATGCTCTTCCTCTAGGAAGATCACACAGGGCCCACGTGTCATCATCTGGGGCCTGCCCACGCAGCTCAGGCTCTGAAAGCTGTTCTGCTTCCATCTAACTTTCATGTTTGTTACTGTACGGCAATCAGTCAACATAAGCAGTCCCACCATGGCCCTGACAAAGTCTCTGTATAAAACAGGAATAACAAAGCTGAGGATATAGCTCAGCAGCACAAGAGCCTGCCTGGCAAGCTCAAGGCCCAAGTTCGATGTCTGGTCCCCTCACCACAAAAAAACTAGTAATAACAGTAATAATACAATGGATTTTTTTTTTT